TCCTCAAGAAGATCGCGTGCAGGAATCTACGTCCATATATATGTGCCCTTTATACAAGGTGCCCAGTAGAAAGGGAACTCTCTCGACAACCGGGCATTCGACGAACTACATCACCAGTATTGAGCTTCCATGTGTTGATCCCCCTGACGTGCCAATAAAGGCTGGCGTAGCTGCACTTCTTGCGCTTCAGGACTAAAAGCTTAGCTGCTTTTGAAACGAAGCTGCTGTTAGTCCAGGCAGTTCTGGCTCATGTCGGTCATTAGAAACGAAGAACAACAAAGTGCTGATATACTGACACACTTCAGCGGCAGCATGCGGAACACGTATAGTGCGCTCGAAAGTTCCAAATCGGAAGAAAAAACGTAATTGGGGATTTGCCTAGCAGCTTGACTGATTCTCAATTACCTGCTACCATGGCTACGGAACTTCATCCAGAGATGGCACATATATGCAAAGTACGACTGCAGCTCAGTAGCATTGAAGTAGCCCTTTTCGAGCGAATAGCTAATCTGCATGGTTCTTGTCAAGTTGCAGTGATGATTCTGCAAAAGTGAGATGGCACATCTAGCGACAAAGCCATGAGCTGCGCAAATTAGATTAATTGAATGGGTCAAAGAGTACGCACCACGTGCCAAAAGCACAGGCATGCAACTGGATATGTTCAATGCAAACACCCACGGCAATTAAGTCACCACGTGCTGGCCAACCGCAACGGTCACGGGTGATGAGAAATGCCGGACACTGAGGTATATCAAGCTGTACATTCCTTGTGTCAAATTTGTATTTCTCATGCTTGCGCACCGCAAGTTGTCTACTATTATGCCTTGGAAGCCGTTCATCTAAAGGCCCAGCCAGAGTTCCTTTAATTGAGCGGGTTCTGCAGTTTTGTTCCGTCAGCCAAGCAGAAACCCTTTAAAATAATCTAGCAAAGCAAAATGGCACCTCTCCTGCGCAAACAGCAGCACAGCAGTAGTTCAGACTCACTACTCCCTCTTTTTCTGCGGCATAGGGCTAAAACTACAGTATGATGAAAGCGAAATGGACCTTCCTCGTTCCCAAAATGGAGCTTTAAAGTATTGAGCCCAGATCACTTCGGCTGCTGCAAAAGTATGGGCAGCGTAATGCTAGGAAGTCTGAATTACCGATGTTGAAAGTGATTTTGCTACTCATCGCTACACGTCGTTCCCCGTCAGCTTGATTAAACAGTCGCATTTGCACATGAAGCATTCGCACAACCTCCGAACACTGCCCGCCATCCTCAGTGCTTTGATGACGCTAAAATAGGCCAACGTCATTTTGAAACTGTAATACCGGAATTCAGTATGCTTCCGCAGTTAGGAGGGTGCAGTTATGGAATTTCTTTTGCGAAACTGTACGTGGAATTCGCTTAGCAATACATAAGCACCAACTGCCCTGGCACATCAGAGGTGCACTGCGGCTACCTCCTTCGTTCAGAACCTTCTAGTTTGCTCCACAACAGAGAAACCGCATTACTTGACAAGCAAGCATGCCTCTCCCGTTTGCCCTCATTCATAATAGGATAGTCAGTACTACATCGCCGAGCACCCAGTTCGGAATGCTCACCCGTACACATACCCGCAGATGCGGCGTACTGATTATTTGCAGCAACCTCGTAGAGCTGATATGAAGAGCGAAACTGATGTTATGAATGGATGAAGTCTCCTTTGAGAGCTCCCTACTACATAGTTTCTCAATTATGCCATGAAGCGCGCTTGTCGTTTTGGGCATTTTGGACGAACCTAATTAAACAGTCGCTTCGTGGGCTCAGGTGGTCAGCTTGAAACGTCCGACACTAAGAGAGGCCACGCAACTTCCTTAGCCACAGCTTGACTTCACCCAACCGCCATGGAGGCCACCCGTTCGCCGGGGATCTTAAAAGGAGAACGTCGGCATAATTTTTCAAGCAAGACTTTATATCTCCATAAAGCAAATAATCAAACACACCAGCCGGAGCGCCGTCTACTGGCAAGACAACTTAAGGCAGGTTGCCGCATGCCTTGCATGCGGGTTGCTGTCCTCAAACGGCTCCTCCTAAACGTCAAACTGAGCTTTTCTTGGGCCAGTTTGTGGACTATTGGTCATTTTTGTATGATAAGATGCAGCAAATTACTAAAAGTCGGGATAGAACTGCCCTCTGGCGGCAGAACTGCTCTCGAGGGACTGTTGTGCCCAAGACAGTCCTGCGACACCACAAAAGTGGCCCTGGGCCGCATTCCGTAATACGCAAAGTTATTGCGTTACCCATAATTCGAAGTAATAGGCATTTATGAGTAAGTTCAGAGCCTAGAGGCTCTGCTCCCGCATGGCTCACGTTACGTTTCGCCAGAAGGCGACACCTCGTAGTGCCCACGCCTCAAAAAAAAATTGCTTATGGTGCCTAGACTTCTTATTTCAGGAAGTAGCAAGCAACTGCATTTATTGTGGCTTCCCTGAAGGGACAGGAATTTCGGAACTCAGCCATTTTCGCGTTGTAATGACGTGGCGCTATCCGCGCATGCGCTTTGGCTGGGCCAAGGACTTTACGCCCAACGCCGTTGTGCGGCTCTTCGTGTCCTACTAGATGTCAGTTTTCTAGGAGAGGACTGTTTGAAGTGAGCTGAAAAAGCTAATTACACACCTTCAATGTACTGTAGCTGCACGTGACGCAAGTGACCCGTGGCAGTCTAATGCAGCATTCCCCTTTGAAGCATGCTCGGATGCAAGGCAGTATTCGAAATCAATCTAGACACTATTTCACAAAGCCATTTTATCGTTCCTGAAAAGGAACTACACGCGGTTTCGTGAACCCTTGAACAGCACAAAACCATGGTTACTTTGGCTCTAGGATAGCTGCCGTACTGCGAAGTGCTTTGATCATATTTGCCTACAGCCACGCTTACCGATATTTGCTTAGTCTACCAAAGCAAGCAATGTTAGGGAAACGCCACTTTTGAAACTGCACTGTTTCTGAACTCGAGCGCAGCCTCAATGGCCGCAGTTTCGAGCAGCATGTACCCCTAGCTAGTCGCAGGTTCACTCATCCTTCGTCGTACTGGATACAGGCGGCAAGCTACTTAAGCACTTCTGCTACGGCTTTTCTAGAAGAAGGAAGACCATTGACTTGTATTCCATACATAACGCTTCGCTTCACAGGCTTCAACAGACTAATGAACAGATATTGAAACCATGGCAGAGTCATCGCCAGCTTCTAATCAGGGGTTTGGAGGGTCAAGTCGTGCAGCAAAACGACAAAGACGAAGGTCTGGTGGTTTGTCACCGAGAGAAACGATGCCCACTGTAGACCGACAGGCCCTTGACTCACAAGCAGCGCCACAACCTGCAACACCAGGCGTCCGCACTCGGCGCCTCGCAGCTTCGGAAAGGGATCATCTTCGGCAGCTAGGGCAGACTGAAGTGCTGCCTCAGGATCTGCGTACGCAACGGCGTTCCACTCGCCGTCTCTTGCAGTTAAGCAAGCGCCAGTCGCCTGCAGCTTCGTCAAATGATCCTGGAAATCCACGCCAAGCACTGGCCAATGAGCCTTGTTCAGAAGAACACTCTTTGCCAGAACAGTGGAGACCTGAATCTTCTGCTGGTGCGCGCGAGGAAGGTAGGTCAACAAGGGTCTCGAGGAGGCCAAGGCGAAAGCCTGGAGGCGCAGGAGGTTCGTCTGGATGCACACGAGGATCAAATATGTTAGCAGGTCAAGCGGGCCCTCAAGAATCACCGTGCGCCCGTCTTGATGCCTGCGAGAGCTCCGAAGGAGCTCAATTTTCTGCGTTAGAGTGCAATCGCCTTCCAGTCTATGAGAAATTGTGGGCTGGAGAGGAGGAGAGAAAGAGGCAACTGCTTCTACTTTTATATAAGGCTCGCTCTGATCTTCTTGAGCCATTTTTCGACATTTTTTCTCAGCATCAATTAGGGGAAACAAATACTCATGAGATCTGCACGCCAGGACCAATAGGTCTCCCACAAGCTTCTGAGGAGCCAAGCGTTTGGCACAGAGATCCGTATGGAGGCACCTCATCCTTGCGCGTTTTCAGTGGGACTGCGTACCTCTCGCACAAGCATGTGGCTGCACTGTCTCACACAGCTTCTGGTGTGTAATTAATTGCTGTTTTTTGCTCATGCATGGCCTACCATGCTCAGTGATAGAGGACGTGCGTTAGTAAGAGCAGCAATAGTTTTGCTCATGCATGGCCTACCATGCTCAGTCATAGAGTACACGCGTTAGGAAGAGCTGCAATAGATGAGCGCATGGTGGCAACTTCTTGATTGTGATTCTGCGTTTCAGACCTGCATGCAGTGCTGCAGTCACCGACAGTGGCACGGTGGCATTTTCTTTTTTTTTGTTGCTTGCTGATTCGTTGCGCTGTTGTCGAACGCCTTCGATATGGGCTTCACGCCACCAAGCAAGCGCCATCGAACGAAGAGCGTCAAAAAGCCGAAGACTTTGTGGTTGATTGCGTGAAGGCCTGGAAATCGTATACTCTTGCGCTACTGCTTTTTAAGTACCTCTACGCCAGGGGTTCAGAAGCTTTAACTCATCAACAGCCTAATTGTTTCACTACACCTGCACGGTTGAGGACACAAGCACCAGAGTTCTCAGATGACGCACTGTTGGCGGCAGAGGCAGCCGGGATAAACACCTCGACAGCACGTGAAGCTATAGCTCACGCAGCGACCAAGATTCTTTTCCAAGTTTCCACGATTGATGAGGCTGCCGTTGTCATCTTTGGAAGATTTGTCAGCAAAAACGAGTGCTGCACATTTGAATGCATAGATAAAAAGCACTTCGTTGATCGCGTATCTGATTGAGACAAATTTTTCTGGGCCCACATGAAACGCTGTTATCAACGAAAGCTGAACAGTGTGTCAATGGTTGTCTGTTAAGCAATTATAATGAAGGCTCGCTTGTGGTGTTTGACTTGTGGTCTTGGCGTTAGGCACTAAGCGGACTTATAGATGTGTTGAGGTCTCAAGTATGGAAGGAAATAGACATGATAAGACGAAAGTGCTCTAGGAAGATTGTCGATGCAGCAGTTGCCACGTGCGCAACAAATAATCCACAAAAACAAATTTCATCAGGGTCTATCGAGCGGTGCCGAATTTCGGGGAACCAAGGCCTGTTTTTCAAAGAAAACCCCGATAAGGAGTTGCAAGGATGCCAAAATCAACAGCAGTCAGAGCATCAAACCACACGTCAAGTCGAGTTTTCCTGTCCAGCGTTAAATAGAGAGGATAATTGTCCTACAAACGAGCATGAGGCAACCGATGGACCAATGCGCAAGCACTGGACACTGGAGCGTGTGGGACTGCAACAGGATTTGCAGCTAGATGAAGATGATGATGCACAACTGGTGTCTCTGCTTGCTGAGGAGGCGTACGGCATGCCAGCTCCTGCTTTTGCTCAAAAGCTACAGCCAATGGTTACTCCTGAAACAACTTTGCCGCCAAAAGCCGAGGAGGGATCAACAAAGGTACTTCAGCATAAGCTGCTTCAAGCAGCTGCTCCAGTTGCACCGAACATGCTGCCCCTGGGGGAAAGGACTTCACCCGCATATGCAAAGAAATCAACTGAATTAAAAGGGGTGCATGCGGAGGAAGCAAGACCAGCACTATCGCCTTCAAGACGTCAACCGAGAGCGGGCCAGCCACCAGTGCCAGCAGCTCGCCTTCAGTGGATTCGTGAGGCCCTAATTACTTTGAGAAGAATTGACGATCCTCAGCACGTACAATTGCAGCGCCGGAAGAAAGCGGCAGTAACTTCAGGAGCTTGCGTCAATTCCCCTCCACCGGCCCAAACTGCGGGGAATTCATTTCAACAGGAAGATTTAACGGATAACTCCGCTATGGCAACAGTTACAACAGGTTCCTACAGGAATGCTCTGCAGCCCTCTTCTAGGAATAACCGATTGTTGTACGTTATCTGGACAGGCGCCGGTGGCGGCCCCTGGGGAGGGTGCTCAAGAATTTGGTTTCAACACAGGAGGTATGTTTGCAAGGGGAAGTTGCAAATATGCCTACACGAAGAATCATAGGAGAGCCCCTACGGGTTTTTAGCTCAGAGAATGCTAAATTACTTTTATTCTGCAATGTGGAAAGAAAACGACGTTTGGAACTGCCGATTCTGTTTCCATAGTGCTTCTAAAAATACTTGACCTTGTTGCTCGTACCAAAGCGTAAAAGCATATACCGAAGGCCTTTTGAAGCTACATTAATAATTTCTAATGGCAAGATATGCATAAAACAATGTTGAGCGGGCCCGCTTGATCTGCATGTTTTATTCTCTAGGAGGTTGCTGGAAGGGGTTGCCACAGCACATGCAGACGCAGCTTCTGAGATGATGGCGGAAGGTGTAGAGCTTCGGGTGTTTCTTCGCTCTGTGGAAGCACTTATTTCGGCAGAGAGGTCTCTAAACGAGACGTGTTTCGGCTCCCCAGTAGGCACGTGCTGATGCTTTGCACTCTTTGAAACATCGTAAAATGTGTTCGACGCTACCGAATGATGAAAGCTCTGTTGGAAAGCTCTGATGGCACCGACGCAGCACTTACCTAAGAAAAGCAGTAAAATGAACTGAGTAAAATTTACACTGTGATGCCTGCTCTACGCCGCTTTCAGCTGATACTGCAGTGCAGGTGGCTCAACAAGTTTTACTCAGAAAAAACTTCGACAAAGTTTTGCTTTTGTCCCCCACACTCCTCCAACTTTTAAGAGAAGATGACTGGAGTGGTGCGCTATCACCAGCTATAAATTGTTTGCTTTTGCATATCATGTTCAAGGCGGTCGGCTTGTCTTACTATGCGCTTTCCAAATGTAAATGTTTTTGCGCCTTCGCTTGCTTTTCTTAGCAGTTTTTGTTTAGTTTTTTCCTGTGGGGTATGCTGCAGCTGTGGTGCTGCTCTTGCACTGGGCCAAGGAGTGGCCAGAGTGCCTAGACAGCATGGCTCATCAGCTTCGTTTCTACTGGTCTTCGTCACTCACCGATTCCATTCAGTACGAAAATTGAGAGTGACTTGCAGCTCTGCAAACGTCATTCCCTACATCACAGTTGCACTGTTTATTGATGATATGTAAAACTTCTGGAGCAGTTTGCTGCCAGGACTCCCGATGCTTTTTTTTGAATCCACCCCTGCGCTGTTTTGCTGCGACGACTGTGTGGTTAGATCCGCGTCAACCCAGTGGGACCTCATATGCGCAGCTTGCCGTGAGGGGCAGCGAGTTATTAGAGGAGGGACAACTAATGCAAGTCCCGCAGACGTTTTGACCACAGATGCATGCAGTCGTGAAGAACAGACACAAAGGGATGGCAGTGGGACTTCAGCAGCAGCTGAAAGTCCCAAGGTTGCCTGCTCAATAAAAACACAACTTATGCCGTTAGAAGAGGAGAAAATATCAGAAAAAGCAGCCGAACCGGCCAAAGCGGATGCAACAGAAACAGTCACACACTGCGATTTCTGTCCCCTTAGGGGGGAGATGTTTGTGCTGTTGTTGCTGCAATATCTCAAGAGGTCAAAAAAGCAGCTGACAGTATTTTGCAGCAATTCATCAGCTGCTGTTGAAGCCCGAAACCAGGTATTCGCATTCCAACTGCTTGCTGTTGTTACTTCACCTTTGGCTTGAAAGACTCATGTTTTGTTCGTTTCCCCCTATTCACTATTGTAATAGACTACGGTATTGCTACGACCAAAAAGCTCTCAGCAAGAATTCGAATTTGCTGAAATGATAGGCTTCTCCCTCCCATGTTTGAGCTGCGCGCGCAGGCTTTCGACCGGGTTATCTCTGATCCTCAAGTAGCAAAGTGCCTTGCGTGCACTGTGGGTGCATCGGGGGAAATCCTCACTGTAGAAGAGGCGGTGGCTACTTATATGGACTCACAGATTAGACGTGCAGCAGCAAAATCCGCTCGAGAGGGAGACGAAATCACGGATACTAAGGACTGGGAAGTACGTTTGAAGCAAACCCGCTGCTGAGCGTCCCTAGTGCAGCACTTTTAGTGCTGCTGCCCTGCTTCAGCTGTGCACCTGGAATACCAGTTCATTCTTCGTGCGTTCAGGAGGATATAGGTCGGCTCTGTTCAAGACTTCACTTTCCTGAGCGTTTTCTCTCCGCATATGCAAGACTGTTAGCCTGCAGGCTGTTACCAGAATGGGTAACTTGGGGCCTGCTTAGCGGAAAACAAATTTCGTCAGATTGGGGCAAGCTTGCCAACCTTACCAACAAAAGTCCCATTTACCTAAGACTTACTCGTGCGCGTGATGCTGGAAACACCCAGTATACGTACAGGGCCTTCTTTGAAAACATTGATGTTACAGATAGGAAAGGGCTTACGAGTAGTGTAGACATTTTTTCTGGAGCAGCAGCGCAAGTGTGTGGTCTAGAAATGAGAGTTTGGAAGGCAATACAACATGCTTTTGAGGCTCGCTGTCCAGTTCCTCCAGAAGAACAGTGGCGGGTCAGCCAGGTTATAGCGGACATTGCTGCAGCAAGAGACACACTGCTCTTGTACACAAAGCAAATGCAGCAGACAAACCCCCCTACAGGTACCAGGCCATCAGCGAATCCTCCTTATGAAGGAGAATCTACCACCGTATCTGCCGAAGCGAGGGCCAACGACCAAAGTGCAGAAGGACGAACTGTATCATCCCCCTCATCCCCTCAAACCTTGTTTCCGGCTGATCCAGGGGATACTTCTGATCTCCCTACTTCAAGCGGATCAGATAACGGAAAGTGCAGCAGCTTTGAAGCCCTGGTTCTTACAAAGACCGCCTGGGAGATTCACCTGCCTTCAGAGACAGTTGAAGCAAGACGGCATCCTCCCCAGCCATCTAGATCAGACACGTTTCCGAACGAACTAAGGGAAAATTTTATAAACGTTGGTGGTTTGAATATCCCAAGAGAGCTGCAAAATCACTTGGATGTCGGTTTCATCTCTGCACATCACTGAAGATAAAGATGCACAATATTTCCTTTCTTAGCTGTACATTTTTTGTTTATGGAAGCTATCGGGAAAAATTTGTTTTTGGAGCCGATTTAAATGATGTGTACTCTTTGCCGTTGGCCCTGCTACTGAATCTGAGGTAACTGTACTCTGCTGTTGGCCAATAATTAGTTTAGTCGTGCGCTCCTGTGCTTACGCTGCCGTTCCGTTTTGCGTCTATTCAGGCCTTCAGCCGAATGTACAAAGCTCACTTCCCAGAACGAAAACTTTCATGGCTCTGGAGGGCGGGATACGCAGAGATGACTCTCCTAGTCCAACAACAGAATCAGCACGAAGGCATCCATCAGAACAGTGCTTGTACGAAACCAACGAGTGCTGTTTTTCGCGTATGCCTGATAACAGCGCTTGTGCTTCTGCTCTTTAATGAGTATGCTATAGCATTCACCTTCTCCACCCAATTGAAAAGAGTCTAATTTGCCAGCATTGCGTTTACATAAATAACATGGTCTGCGGGGAGTGCAACAAGCAGCAATAGTTCAGTTAATAGCAAAACTCTAGCATACGTTTTCACCTGTTATGTTTCACGGGTTGTGGCTTTGCAGAAATTCGTTTTTATCAGTCCAGGCGGCTGCCCAGTTGACGGGAATTTCTGTAGAAGAAGCTTTTTCTGTGATGGAAAGTCTCCAAGTAGAGCCGCAGAATCTTTTGGTAAGACAAAATGCATAGCTCTTTCCATCCTGCCTCTCTGGTCTTCAGAAACAGTTAATCAATTTCACACAAATTGTGGTAATTTTCACGCTTTGTTCGAGCGCCCAGCTGAAAATACAGCCATCAGCGCTGGAGCGTGATTCTTGTTTTTGTTTCATAGCGCAGGTCCTCAGAGAGCTCCTCATCCCTACAATTCTGTTTCAATCCTGAAGTTGATATCAGACGCCTTCCTTGCAGAGTCAATCCTCTCGCGGTAAATCTAAACCACGTGTCACAGTGATTGCTGGCGAACCCGAAAGCCCTTCAAGAGAAGCGATGTGCTGCACTAGGCTGCAAGTCATTTTACGCCACTTTCTCATGCGTGCAGGCTGGATGCACAATTACTACGCACAGTCAGAAACGAACTTCAGGAAAATTCAGAGGGTCCCTGGATGCAGAAGAGCGTGCTAGGCTTGATGCGAAAGTTGTTAGGCTTTTTAAGCAGCACCGTCGAATAACTCACCAGCAACTGATGCAGCATTTGCAAGAGCTTACTGGAAACCATCTTTCTCAAGGTAGCACGGGTGAGTATCAAGGATGGAAGCCTGAAGCTATCAAAACATGCCTCGAAGGTCTCATGTCAAAGGAGTACATTATTAGAGATGAAACAGACCGGTAAGTACACGGTACTACAGTATCATGCGTCAAAGACACTCCTGCGGCTCTGACAACGCAGCATTTTGAATGCTCGATGCGGTGCAGGAACGTTTATCAATATATCCCTTAAAAACTCTTCAGGGCCTTTTGTCCAGCTCAAAAGGGCTTCTCACTCGTTCAGTGTTTCTGGCTCAACTGCTGTAGATCCAAAACGGAAAGGAAACCGTGACAGTTTGCTATTTTGCAAGGAAACCATCCAAACACATTCAACTTATAAAAATGAAAATGCCTGCTTTGTAGTGTCAGGCTTTTCTCACCTTGTGTGTTCCGTTTGCACAAGTATTGTCATACTTGACCACGCGTGATATCGTTTTCTAGCCCTACCTACCTACTGCGGGGATAACGCATAAGAATACAAGCTCTGCGAATATAGAATAAGCTCGACGATACCTGCTTGTAGACGCTGCGCTCCATTGTATGTTGGAGTGGAAATACATGAAGTTTGTCGCTTGGATGTAAAGCTCCCCAGCTATTTTGAAAATTGTGCTCTGGGGGGAGCCGCAGGCGAATCTCAATTAAACACGTGGGCCTTACCAGTCTATGGCATTGTTTAACGAGAATATCATTATCTCTAGGAAGCACATCACCGCGCAGAAGACACTACTGCAACGGTTGATTTCAACACGTCACTGCGCCAATGCATATATCTAGACAATCGATCTACTGAAACATAATCGACAAAACAATAATACTAGC